TTGTTTCCCTAGTATGGTGGATGGAATGGTTGTTTTCATTCCTTCACACCCAATAGTATTTTCAACATTCATACCTTCGCCATAGCCTCTTACTGTAAGCATGAATATGTATATTTGCACTATCCACAGATATGGAATGAGGTTCTTTTCCTTTCACTGCCTCCTCTTTTTAGACACTGGCTCTCAATCCCGGCTATGCAAAGATCATCTAATGCCGAGACCCCACCCACAGAAATAACAATTTAATCATCTCGATTGGGGCCCAGTCACCAGATTTGTTTTTGTTTTTGTTTTTTAAGCCCCCAAGATAACTCTGATGTGCAGCCATGTTTGAGAACCACTACTGCAGGGTATATTTAGAAATTTAAAATGTGTTTTTTTACACTGAGTCTCTCTGCATCAGGTTATTGCAATGAGTCCATCCATTTCCACATGCAGTGCCGATGGCCCTGTTATTTCAAAGACTGGTGACTGCAATATCACCTGCGCTGTACAAAACCTTCAGGTAATGCTGCGAAAGTTGAAAAACAGGAAATGCAGTCCGTTTGGAAACTGACACCCCCCTGGAAGAGGAGGGAATTACAGTATGAAAAAGGAGCTCAATAATGCACTCATGGGGTACATTTATTCTATAAACTATCCCTTATATTATTATAAATATTTACATTCAGTGTACTCAATGTAGTTCTCAATTCCTGATTCACCTATGTGTGCTGGCTTTCGGCTTCCTTGAGGAGATATTTCTGGGGGAAACAAAGGGCAGCTGAGTGGCCCTGTCATGCGGAGAAACCTCTCACCTGCTCAGACACCTGCCCAGGTGAAAGGATGTGGTTCAGAGGATGAACTAGTGCATAAGGCTGTGCACCCCCTTTCCTGAAGCAAGTGCAGGCAGCCCAGGGAAGGATTCGATAGAAATGGGTGTGCATGCCTCAAATCACTGACTCCCTGGGACCTGATCATCCTCTATTTTTTTAATTAGGGGCAAACAGGAGGTTGATTTGGGATTTTGACTTCATTTCACGTCATCTACCTTTCTTCCTTCACACTTTTCCAGGCATGGATTTTTCAGGTGACCTTTGACCTTTGTTCTATGTCGCCTTCCTCCATCCTTGTCCATTCCTCCTTACTAGCGACGTCATAAGGAGTCAGGATACGTGAGTTCCAATCCAGCTTTGCTTTTCACCATCTCTGTTTCACTCTCTGAGTCTTTAAGTTTCTTGTCTCATTTTCCAAATCTAGAAAGTGGGGCTCCTGATGCCTGTCCATCTGATGCGACTATTAGGAAGAGTAAATGGATAATGTCTATAAAAGGGCTTTGTAAGTATACATCTGGGAGTCAGACTTTAGAGTCTGCACGTTTAACCAGGGAGCTGACCTATGACGGTCCATGATAATAGCTCTGGTGAATGCTGACTCAGCGGGTGTTCCTGCTGTGATCACACACAGTATCATTGTTGTCTTCTTAAATACAGTCATTTTTGAAGACCTTGGGACACAGAAGGGTTCGCACCTCTGCTTTGAAACCGTTCAGCATTTGGGTCCTGGAAAAATTGAATCACTACCCACTTCCCTCCCTACCCCTTCAGTTTCCAGCTAAGCCTTTAGGAGTCTCTGCACATTCAGGATGAGGAGTGTTTGTTGGGAGTGACATTGGATCCTGAGTTGACAGAAATTCACACTTCTGGTTACACTACTGGATTAGGTTACAATTTATTGTGGAGAACTGTAATTAGCTATAAACAAGAGTCTGAATCATCTCTTGGCCTGAAGTACCACTCCGGTTTCTCCTTAGGTGAGAATGATGGTGCAGCTGGCCTGTGCACATACATGTGTGTTTAATGTATATTGCGTATGTCAGTGTATTCTGTATACCTATGTATTTTATATGCATACTCATTGTGGCTCATGGAAGATCCCAATAATAATGACTATCTGTTTAGCGACCATGATAACTGAGCACATTTTATGTGCTAGGTTCTTTATACACATTTAATTCTCATAGTAATCCTGTGAAATAGTTATTATCTCTTTTATGAATTTGAAGTTTTCCAAGATCACTAGAGGAGGAGGTATTTAAACTTAGATTTGTCTTGCAAAACTTGCTAACCTTGCACTTCTAACCACTCGGCTTCTCTGTGTTTCTATTTTTCTTGCTTGCTCAAGATGTTTGTTGGAGGCTGCATGCATGAGTGTAGGTGTTTAAGGGGTAGAGGAGGCTGTTGTGTGATTACTCTAAAACGAAAGGTGGAGCCCTGGCTGGTGTAGCTCAGTGGATTGAGAACCAGTGGGCTGTGAACCAAGGCATCGCAGGTTCGATTCCCAATCAGGGCACATGCCTGGGTTGCAGGCCACGGCCCCCAGCAACCGCACATTAATGTTTCTCTCTCTCTTTCTCCCTCCCTTCCCTCTCTAAAGGTAAAATGAAAATAAAATCCTAAAAAAATAAAAATGAAATGAAAGGTGGAAATTTTGGTTTATCATTACGATTCAGTGGAAAGTTTTGATATGTTACCTGATATTTTCTGTGTTTTCAGAAAGTGGGTAATGTAGCCTCAATTTAAAAAATAAAGATTTCTGGAGATCAAATCCAATTCTAATCAGGAAAACTTTACCTAGTTAAAGCTTTGGAGAGATTTTTCAGATTCTTTACCATACAGAAATGGTTTTGAAATCCCAAGAAAGTAAATAACACATTTCCTCATCATGAATAACAATGTGGAATTGTCTTAGAAAGGATTCTCTTGTTGCAAGCAACAGACACCCACGAAGCCAGCTGAAACCAGGAGAGAGCGCATGAGGAAGCACAGGAGTCTAACTGAACCCAGGTGATGCAGTGGGAGAAAAGGTGTCCATGGCATCTCCAACTCTTAGAACAATGCCCCATTCAAAGTTAAGGTTCAATAAATATTTGATGAATGGAAGAATGAATACATTTCTACATTTCTAAGGGATAGACTCCAACTTACTCAGCTTCAGTCAGGTGTCCATAAGCCTCTCCAATCAGTTTTGACTGGGGGGGCAGATGTCAGAGGGCCCTGGTGGAAGGAGGGAGTATGGTTCCCAGAGAAGGAGGACTGCAGGTGGAGAAGATACCCCAAGAAGTGCCCTTTAAAACAGTGAGTACCTGGCCTTGATGGAGCTGCTGAGCCCTCTTTCCAAGTGAAACCACATGGCCCTATTAGGGAAAGCACTACAAAACTGGTGCAAGGGAGAGGTGGTTGAACAAAAGTATCATCTTGTTCGTACTTGATCTCACTTCAGAACATTGGAGCAATGGAAATATTTTGAAAATATAAGGGGGACACTTTGTTTACAGAACTATCCAACCCTCTTATAAGTGGTTTCTTTACTGTTCAGTAGGGACAATGTGATTAGGGAGCTACTTATAAGGCAAAGATTGAAGTGAAGGTCAATGTTTGGTGCCGGAACACCTGACTGACAATTTGAAGGCTTTGGTGAGATCTGTAGAAACCATGTGAATCTGGACTTAGTCAGGGACAGGCCAAGCTCCTGAGAGCATGAGACCCTTCCCAGTTTGGCCACTACCTGCTGTCTCCACTCACCTGTCTTCGTCCACCTGCCATGCCTTCCCAGTTTTCAGCACATTCATCATTGCTGTAGCCACACTAAATTCTCATGTTTCCCCAAATGTGCCTTCTCTTTCACATACAGTGCCTTGGCTCAAACTTTTTCCTCTGCCTGGGTTTTCTTTTTCTCACCCCTTGGGCGAACACCTACTTACCTTCAAGGTTTCACATTTAGTCAGCTATAAAGGAGACTATGAAGTCTCCTCTGACCTTCTCTCTCTGTCTTCAACTCTCCCTCCCCCTTTATCTTTTCCCTTACTCTGGAGGATAGAGAGAGAAAAGGACATGCCCAGAAACTCTCATGGTCCACCAACTGGCTTTGTGCACCTGACAGATGAAGGTAAAAGTGAGCAACAGAGAGAGGCCACATATGGGAAGATCATCCTGGCAAGCACGTGGCAGAAGCATTGGGTTCTTCTGGGTCACAGCAATGCTAGTGTTCAGTCTCTGGCATCATAGTTGCCAGCGATAGGAGGTGCAAGAGTGACAGTACCTGTAGAACAGTCCTGTGGTGTGGGTGACACAGTATTTTATTTATGATGTACAACATCATAGCTGACCCTCCTAGAAATTCTTTAATCTGCCTAATATCCTCTACAAATCCCCTCGTGCTTTAACTGCAGCTAAAACCCCTTGCTAATGTTGCACCCTGGCACAGATTCTAGATCTGAATAAGCTTTGGGTTGCCAATGCCTTGGATGTGGTACGTACTTAGGAAATGGGTGAATTGGGGGGGGGGGGCGGGTAATGAATGGATGTGTCACAAAGGGAAGTCTCTAATTCTCTAGGTTCCGAGGTAGGAATGGGAAAGGTCTTGGTGACAGGGACATGAATTGCATTTGAAGAGACGCAGGCTGAGTGGTAAGGGCACGAAGGAACCAGGAAGAGGCTGAGAAGAAATAGCCTCCCTCCTGCCAGACAGAGAGAGCACAGGGGCAGCTTTCATTATAGAGTAAGGTCCTGCTGTGCCTACAGACGTCCTATCGACTCAATATCTTCAGCAGAAATATAAAAATCTGGTGGATTTCAGAGAACATAGTTCGACCTGACGTGTGGCGGTGTGCTGACTAAACACGCAGTGGGCTGACAGAATCATATCGAATGGCGGGGTTGGTGGCACGTCAATAGACAGTCCCAGAGACCCAGCCAAGTAGAAGGGTGTGAATTGGAGACAAGATTGGGTTTGAGGGGTGCACTTCAGGACCAGGGGGGCTGTGCAAGTCTTGAGGTGATGGGAGGAAATGAAAGGAAATGGGACTTTCACATTTTATTGTGATTTTTTTCCTTTTTGTTTTTTTTTGTGGCAAGAAGATTGATAGCCAATATTTTTGTACATTGTAGCTAATATGTATAGATGTAACCACCTGATTGTTGGACACTAGTCATTTAATTCTCTGCCCCATCCATTCCCAGTCCTCAGGTGGGCCTCAGGACAGACAGCTCCAGTGGAAGAGAGTGGGGAGCCCCTGAGCACCAGTGGCCAGCAGAATGGCTCACACCACCTGTAGCTACTACCAGGTATTTCTTTCTATAGTTCTTCGGTTGGCTTTTCAATTTTTGAAGGGTATTTTTGAGAATATATATTTTTTTACCATGGAAAAATATCTAATCTTAATAAAAGCTAAGTTATACATAAAATGCTGAACAGGTGAAATGCTAAAATGCTGGGTTATCATTGAGTAATCATCTACTCCCCTCCCGCACTATCACAACTCTGGGAGAGTTGGGGTGGGGGGGGGGAGGTGCATTGGCCCTCTGATACCGCAGCAGGGAGGTGAAGAAGGGAACTTCTGGTTGGGAGTGGGGAGGACTAAGCTGGCTCAAGAAGCCATCCCTAGCTCAAGGCACGTGTCTTGTGCAGGAGTTCTTCATCTAGGGAGCATATTAGAATCACCTATACAACTTTTTGTTAAATACACACACTCTTGGACCCTTTCCCAAGAGATCCAGTAGGTTTAGGTGGGGTCTGGTCACCTGGATTTTGAAAATATTCCGTGAGTAGTTCTGATGCGCCCACTGACTGAGAACCACGGATGGGTGCAGCGATTTCAGGCCTGATTCCGATGGCCATCCTATGGGGACGTCATGGAGCCAGGAATGTGGGGGTCCAGTTGGCCATGCAATTCAGAGAGACAGTTGTATTATGAGGTCAGTCTGAGGGTGATGGGACGCCCAGGAGCAGGTCAGGACACTGGAGAGCCAAGTCCAGCTTATGGAAGGATGCCGATCCCTGGTGCCTGCTGGGATTTAGGTGGAGGCTTTCGGTCTTTGGCAGAAATCCAAACCATTGGTAGGCAACCCTGAGACTGAAGGCCCTTCAGGCCATTCCTCATACACAGGATCTGGTTAATTGCACAGAGAACTAACCAGACAGCGTCTGTAGCTAGTGGTCATTCCAGGTTTGAGGCATGGGGAAGCCATCGATATCCACTCTGGTGCTGTTGGAGATGGCTGGGGAGCTCACCAGGGCTTGCGGGACTGTCCCACCTGGGAAGGTAAAGGAGAAAGAAATCAGGGAAGGGTTGAGATAGGTTGTAAATGGCTGGTGCAGGATGGCTCCATTACCAGAGAGCATGCACCTCCTCTGTGGAGTCCTACAAACCAACTCTACAACTTGGGGTTTGAGGTAAACATTCATTGAGGGATCCCTGTGCTTCCAGGGGTTCATCACCAGGAAGATGCAGAAACCCCCATGACTCTGTCATGGGGGGCGCTCTGCTGCTCTGCAGGAAATGTTCATAGCTTGCTCTCTCACTTGCCTGTGTTCATGCATTTCCCCAATTCACTTATTTTCCCTGGAGAATGTGCTAATGGCTTCTGCCATGTTTGCATGCGGCCTATACTTCTGCTGCTCCATGGTTCATTCCAACTCCTGACTCTTCTCTGTGGGAGGGACTATTCATTTCACTGGAGAAACCCCATCATGTAGGAGGGGCATGAATGGGCTTCCTGCCATAGAGCTGCTACAAAAACCCACTTTCTACCCTTTGGGATGAAAAACACATGTTTACTTCCTGGCATCTCAATTTTTGGCTCCCGACTACATAGATTTTCTAGACTTAGCAAACAAAAATGCAGGACACCCAGTTAAATCTTAATATTTAGGACACACATGAAAGAATATTTGTCATTTATCAAAAAATATAACCGAGTACCCCATATTTTACCTGACAAACCTATGACAGCAGCAAAGCAACTGAACTTAACGTAGTCAAAAGAATACTGAAGTACTGAGTTATACAAACACCCCCCGAAAAAAGACTGCTATTTATCATCCAAGATGCATTTTCCTCTTTCTTTTAGTAATAAAACTTCCTAATTTATTTTGAGCCCAGGAAAAGAGAGAAAAGGGTATATTACTCAGTCTCCCTTGTAGCTAGAAGTTGCCAGAGAAGTATGAATAGAAGTGATGTGTAAAATTCAAGGTCATGCCCTTAAAGGGAAGGGATATACTCTCCACTCCCCTTTCTCCCTCATTGACTGGAACAGCATCTGCTGTTGATGGTGGTGTTCAGCAATCTAGAAACAGCACCCTGGAAACAAATAGTTGGAAATACTTGATGGGACACACAGTGAGAGGCAGACATTTAGAAAGTTACGAAGCTTTACTCTGGATGGCCTGTAAATTCCACACACATGCACTAATTAAGTAACTAGACATAATTAAACTATCTGGAGTGATGACTGAAAAATAAATATTTTTAAGGGGCGAAAAGGCAAAATTGAAACAGGCTCATTTCTTTAGTTCACAATGTTGACTGAGAAGGCAGGGTAATTACAAGTGGTAATCATATTTGATAATTATATATTTTCCTGTGTTGACATTGGACATGAAATCAGGGAACTTACTTCCGGAACAAGCTCTCATTGATGCCCTTTCTCAGAAAGACATCCGAGAACGAAGTTCATGTCACAGCCACCTCCATATCCATATTCTAAGGATGAAGCCATGGTTGAGAGTCGAGGGAGAGAAATGACATGACACAATTCATGTGTTTCTAAAAAACCACTCTGGCAGCTTGGGGGTTGGGTAGATGGTGGGGCACAGGCCTAGAGCTGGGAGGCCAATGAGGGACTGTCGCATGGCTCTGCTGCACCATTATGCTGGGCCTGGAACAATGCCACTGGGGAGGTGGGGGCAGCCACTCCAGTGGGACCCAGAGCCTGAGCCTGGAGGAAAGAGGGGTAGGGGTCGGGGAACAGGCTGCAAGGGGTGCTCTGGGTAGGTTGGGGTGACCACCAGCATCCTCTTGCTATTTCAACTAGTTGCGCTGCAGCCTGGTATGAGGTTAACATAAGCAGCTAATGCCCGGATAGCTCTGTGGGAAAATGGTCAGCCCTGCAGGCAGTGTAACACAGAGGGACAAGCACAGAGGAGCACATCCAGACCTGTTTGATGGCACCGGAAGTGCCCACAGGAACTGTGGAGCTAAGGTTCCTTCAGCACCTCCAGGCCAGCTCCCCCCAGGCCAGCTCCCCCCAGGCCAGCCAGCTCATCCATCTCCTCCCTTTCCAGAGGGGCCAACAGGAGACCCACAGCAGCCTGGCTGGCAAGGGCCCAACCTCAGGTGAAACCCAGACATTTCTGGCTCCACAGGCAGGGCTCCTAACCAGTAGCTACAGTCTTCACGCTGGTCCCGCTGTTTTCCTCCCTACTGCTAATTCCCTTAATACTTTCTTCTCTTTCTGATATGCTTCTCCTTCCTCCTGGCTGCACTTACAGCCCACAGCCACCACGAATATGTTTTTTAGGGTGACTAGGACCTTCAATCTTATGCCCAGCCATTAGAAAAGGCAGGGAGGTGTTTGTCCTTGGAGCACATCTGTCCTCCAGGTAGGGAGAGGCATTTTGTCCCTGCATCTTACATGCATTAGCAGATTTCTCCTCACTAGACTAGAAGCGTACTCCATTTTGGAGGGAGTTTGAGTGGCTTGTCCCATGTCACACAGATAGAGGGTAGAAATTATTCTAAGTCCCACCTTCACAGCTCTGATGTTTTCGGCCTTTTATCAGCAACCCACGCTGCTCTGCACTCTTCCCCAAAAGATCTCTCTTCTTTTCTTATAACACTGGCTGTAAAACTTGGCCCTTCTTACCTTACTCTCATCTGGGTTGTGCCTTAGAGATACATATTTCTGTCTCCTCTGTGCCTCCGGCCCAAATATGGGGAGCTTTTGTGGCTCCCAATGCCTCTCAACCTCTTGTGTGCTCTGGCCTTCAGCTTCTATGACAAGTTCAAGGACAAACCATTGGGTTCCATGCCTTGTTCCTGTTAGAGCAGGTCTATAACATTAAAACAAATATATGAACAAACTACTCCAGTGTGTTTGAACTGTTGCATTGTAAACGACTTCAAACTGAGTTCTATAAAATAACAGCCATACTGTTATATTCATGAGTTCTGTGGGTCAAGAATTTGGATAGGGCAGAGAGGGGGAAGACCTGCTTTTACTCCATGATTATCTGGGGCCTCAGTGGGGAAGATGAATGGCTGGAGGAAACTTGAACAGCTGGGGGCTGAAGTCGTCTGGATCTGGGATGGGCTTAGCTGGGGCTGTTGACTGGAGTGGCTTACCCATGGTCACTCCGTGTGGCATAGACTTGCATACAATATGGCCTCAGGTCAGCCAGACTTCTTACCTACAGACCCAAGGCTCCAAAAGCAAATGTCCCAGGGGATGAGGTGTTAGCGGCATGGACTCTCATGACCTATACTCAAACATGGCGTCACTTCCGACACGCTCTGTTCTTTGAAGCAGTCTCAGATCCGCTCAGGTGCAAGCAGCAGGGACACGGACTCCACACTGCAGTAGAAGGAATGCTGAAAAACTTCTGGACCTATTTTCAGTCAGACATGCAAATAAACAAAAAAAAGTCTTAATTTTTAACTTAATTTTAACTCCTCGGAAGAATCCCCAAAGCCTGGGACAGGAGTCTGTAGCTTTTCCACATAGAGGACTTGCCTACTTAAAACAAAACAGAAACCCCCCAAGACAAACACTAATTGTGTTTAAAGGCAGGGTCTGCCTTCAAGCACACTCATGGCAAATAATTCAAGACAGCTCAACACAAAGAATTTAGAATAGTACAAATAATGTAAAACAGTCTTGAAAGCTTACCACCTAGAGATAACTCCTAACTGTTGAAGAAAAATATTCTTTCAGGTATTTTCTCTACATGTATACACCTATAAATATGTGAACAGTTTTATATAAATAGGATCATGCTATTGAGCTCTTTGAAAAGTATTCTTTTATCCACTCAATAATATGTTAATGTTTCTATGTTGCAACAAAAACTGTTGGTTTCTTACCCAAGATCTATTGGTCCTTTCTTCCCTCCTTAACAGGTTCCCATTCTAATTCAGGCATCTGCTCTTCTACAAGTGGCAATTTGTTTCCGGGAAGGCAGACTCTATCTCCAGTCTCCAGCGTAAAAGACGATCAGGCTTAGTTAATACAGCAGTCCATTCCCCTGGCCAGTGACTGGAAGAGTGATGGAATGAGACGCAATTCTGGCTAACGCAAGGGCAAGTCTGAGGGCGGGCTTTGGGGGATGGATTTTTGTGATGACAGAAAGAGGTACTTTGCAGCGCCCTCTCTGCTTCTACCATATGTTGTCATTCCTGCCTCTGCCATGTAAACTGCCATAGCTCTATACTGCATTTGTGTGTTTTCAGAGAATAAATTACTGTTTAATTTAAATAAGTTGATTTGTGTCTTTCTGTTACTTGTAGCCAAAAGTGTTCTAACTGATCCATGGCCACAAAAAAACTCATGCAGAAGTACTTTAAATGGCTGCCTGTGCTATTGTATGGTTTTGCCAGAACCAACTCTGGGCAAATTCCCACATGTTTGATTGACATTTAGGCTATTTTCTAAAGTTGTTGTTACTGTTTGTTATTTTTGCCACGGTCAGCAACACGGATGAGTATCAGCACTTCCATGAATCCCAAGTTTAGGTGCTCCTCGGTGTGGCTCTACACCTTCCTGCTCTGACAGCTGGTCTGTGACCCACCGGATCGGCCCCACCGACACAGGCTCTTAGGTCTGCCCAAGGCGAAAGTTTGGAGCTTTCAGTTTCCCCATGTTTTTCCTCCAATGGACAGAGCATGGACTTGGGAACCAAACGAAAATGGTTAGAACCTCCTGCCATTCCCTAGACAGTCTCATGAGCTTCAGCCTGTGTGCTCTGTCGAAGGGAATGGAAATACCAGCTTTCAGAGTTGTTGTCAGGATTAAAGGGGGTGATGTTTACTAAGCAACCTGCTCTGAGTTACCTCCTGTCTGGAGCCCGACACACCCACCACGAGTGCTGCACTGGTCACTGTTTTTATGGGTCATCATTTACCACGTGGAGGAATGTGCGTGGAAGAACAGGAATAGGGGCCATTGCTCTCAAAATGTGTCAGTGAGATGCTGTTTGCATTCTTTCCAGAAGGACCAAGACTTCCTGCTATCTTTTTAACTTTTTTATTTTGAAATAATTCTGGATTTACAGAAGAGTGGCCAACAGAGGTAGCCTGGAGAGCTCCTGTATGCCCTTCCCCCAATGCGGCACATTTATCAGAAATGACAAATACCATTGATGAGACCATTCACTAAATGACAGACTTTATTTGGATTCAACCAGTTTTTCCACAAATGTGCTTTTTCTATTTTAGCATAACAATTCATGATACCATACTGCTTGCTGGTTTTTAGTAGACTTGAAGCCATTTCCTCAAAGAGCTGAGCTGAACACACTTCTGCTGGGAAAATATCCAGGCACCATGTACTGGGTGCTATTGATTTGGCATCTTAACAGCTCTATGGGGTAGGTGCTCCTATCTTCATTGGACAGAGGGATAAAATGAGACTCAGAGAAGTTGGGAGGCTCCATCACAGTCACCAAGAGGCAGAGCAGAATTCAGACCCGGCAGCCTGGCTCGTGCTTGGCTGCCTTTCCCAGAGTATGCAGTCTCCTGGCCCTCTCCCCAGAGCCTGTGCTCAGTGGGAGGGCTGAGGGGGTTCTAGAGCAGGGGCCCCTTGCCTGTGGGCAGAGTCCACTCTGACCACACCTCCTCATGCTGGGTTACCTCCTGGCTATGCGGACCAGATCCTTTCAAGCCCCTTTCTCCCATTCCTTCCCCATCAGCTCTGGCTCTCGGCACAGTTGCTGCTTGTCAATCCTATCATTCAGTGCTTGGCCACAATGCAAAGGCGCCTCCTGGTGTTTGCATTTGAATAGGGACCCGGGCCTAAAGTCAAACAATGAGGCTCTCGCTGGGAATGGGGGGTGAATCTGGGCAGAGCGCATTCCCCCAGCCCTTCCAGGTCCCAGTGAAGACGTGAAGGCAGCTCTTCTTCACTTACTCAGAAGACTTGTTTCTCCACTTGAAATATCACAGACTGAACCCTTCTTCTTCCCATTCTGCTGCCACTGCCTCCACTCCGGGGACAGGGGGTGACTCGCTTTTTCACCAGCACAGCCTAGGATCTTCCTGGAGGCGCTGTCCAAGAGGAAAGCAGGCAGCTAGGAGTCTGCCTTGCTCTCTGAGCTCCCAGCTTTGTCACCACTGCCACCACCTCAGAGGGGGTCACAGTGTGTATTACAGGTCACCTCACAGCAATGCAGTCAGGAGTTATATGTATCCCTTTATTGAACAAGGAAATGGAGGCATGAGCTACCCAGCTACTCGAATGTGCACCTGGCTGGCTCCACAGTATATAATCCTTCCATTACACTGCATGCTTTTATGATGAATGCTCTGGAAACAGGGCCATTGCCCAAACCAGTCTTGGGTTCCTGGTGCCAGGAGAACCCAATACAGACCCCAGACTCTGGAGGACCAGGCTGGGGACAAAGCCCCTTTCTAAGGTACCGTCCTGCAGGCGGGAGAGGGCTCTGCTTGGTGGGCAGACAGATTGAGGTAAGGGCTTGCGTTCTGTCTGGGAGTGGGCATTTCCTCATTCAGGTGACACAGTTTAAAGAATGCTGATCATGAACTGTGTCTCTATGTATCCGGCAAACATGGCCTGGCAGAGGCCTAGAGCAGCTTTAATCCTTTTGTTTACATTAAGAGAGTTCAGTGAACCTGGCATTTTCTTAAGCTGAAATGGCATTTCAGCCACAGGTTTGCTCTCAGTGCTGACACAGAAACCAGCTTTGGGAGAAAAATAGTCATAACATCCAGAGCTGCAGCACTGAGTGACTCATCTCAGAGTCACCGGCAAGCCACTTGCACCCCTCTTGGTTATGATGGCTTTAGGTCACTGGCTGGGCCCCGAACATCTTTGCTGAAGAGTGTAAGAAGAGCTGAGCTGTCCCAGAGATCACCCTGTGCATCAAACACGTCACATCTACTAATATAGTTAACCCTCGAAGCAACAGGGAGGTAGGCAGAATGATTGCCTGCACTTTATAGACAAAGAAACTCAGGCACAGAGAACGTAAATATATTGCACACGTTCACACAGCCCTTCCATGGCACAGCTGGGAGTCGAACCCAGGCAGTCTGACTAGAGCTGGCTCGTGCAGTCTAGAGGGAGCAGAGTCCGAGGGATTCTCTTTAACTTTTTCATTTGTCTGTCTTAATTTTCTACAGTATGTGCTCTGTGGGGACAGACAAAAACAATAAAAGGGTTTATGCTGTTAAAAAAAAGAGGGAGAGAAGCCCCTTGGTGAGCACACGCAGCGCGGGGCCCCTTCTCGGGGGTGCGCACAGAAAACCAGTTCCGAGAGACTCCTGTGGTTCAGGCGGGCAGATGGCAGACAAATCCTGGACCAGAAAAGAGGGGTTTTCTTTTTTACATATTCTTGCATTGATTCAATTACTCATCCATCCCTTCAAAAAAGTATGAAGCTCCTGCTCCGCCCAAGCGCGGGGGTGGGTGCAGGGAGCACAACTGTGTCTAAGACCAGGCCCCACCCTCCAGGGGATGGCAGTCCGGGGGTGGGGTTAGGGAAAGAGGTGCTTAAGCACCTCGTACTGTGTGAAGGCATGCAGGAGTTTGCAAGTCTGTTTTCCTGTGCCAGAGTTGCATTCTTGAGGACAAACACTAGAACCTACCACATATTCCAGCCATTCATTCATTCATTCATTCGTGCATGTTTGAATTAGTTCATGGTGGCTGAACATATAGGGTTTTCAACAAAGGAAAAGCCCAAGTGGTCATTTCTCTAAGATGAAGAAGGCAGAGATGAGGATGGTTAGAAAAATCTCTGTAGAGACTGGAACAGAGGTATACACTGAGAAAGTGTTCAACAAGTGGGGAAGGTACTTCCAGGTAGAAGGAACAGCAAGTGAAAAATGACAGGTGTGAAGCTGCCCGTGCATTTGAGAAACGGCTAGTAGTTCAGTGTGGCTGCACATAGGGCGTGTGTGGGAGGGAGGGAGGACTCAGGGAAGGATGGGACAGGAGAGTGCAGGGTCCAGATCCCGGTGGCCTTTGTTATGCTAATGAGCATGGAGCCAATGTGGTTAAGTTACAAGGAGAGAGAATCAAAGGATGGAATAAAGGGTATATGTGCAGATGGAGGTTAGGGCATATGAGAGACTTCTCCTCTTCTTCCGCTCTGTCCCCTCCTCCTTCTGTTTTGTAAGCCCTCTCCCCTGCTTTTATAAAGGAGTGAAAGGGTAGGAAGCAAATATCTTTCAGCATCTACTGTATGCCAGGCCTTGGTGAGTGCTTTGCTGCCTTTAATCCTTACTCTGGTGCATATCACCAGCCCCATTATCCAGGTGCGCATGTGGCAAACTGAGGCTCAGAGCAGTTAACCTTAGAGCTGAGGTTTCCCCAAGTGCATCCAATTCCCAAAGCAGCACTCTTTACAGTGGGCCAAACACAACAATGTAATGTGGAACTCAGCTTTGCAAAGTGTTTCATGTACCTAGGCTCAATGAACTCTTGGCATGACATCAGGAGGTAAATTGGGCAAGAATCATCACCCACATTTTCAGGAGGAAACTGAGTCATAGAGAGAGGTTCATGGACTACGTGACAGTAAGCTGAGAGTTTCAAGATTAGGAACATCCAGAGTACAAAACAGATACCCATCTGAAAACCACACGTGGAAACAAAAATAACCACAAGACAGCTTCTCAGTGCAAAGGGGCAGCTGTGGACGTGCCACATGCGCACAGGAGAATCTTCGCACGTAGAGGTTTGCAGCTGGAATAGCTGGAGGGCCCCATCCAAGTGGCTGAGCTAATCCCTTCCTCTGCCTTCTGCCTGCTTCCTCTGTCACCCTGGCAGGGGGTGGGGGGAGTTCCTCTAGAGGGGGCACCTACGATTCTCCACGGAATCCCTCATTTAGCTCCCAAGACCCAGCACAAGCTTGGGTGCAGAATGTTGGTGCAGTTTTGACAAGACGCTCACAGAGGTTCAGTGACTAGTTTTAATTAGGCCATCTTTGTTTATGTTTGATGTTTATCAGCTAATTGGCATGGCAAGGTGTGAGTCACACAGCTTTCCCCTGGCATGGAATCAGTTTGTCAGAGAAAAAACCAGGAGAACAAATGATCCCAATTATGAGAGAACCCACTGGGCTAATTATCGTCCCACTAAGGACGGAACCTCCCCCTCCTGCTGCTGCTGCTACTGAGGCTGCACCACGTATCCTGGGATCCTCCCACCCCTTCCCCCAGCTCTGGAAATCCAGAAACCCAGGAT